CTCCCCTCTCTCCCAGCTGACGGTGGCCCAACGTTCTCCTGCAGGATCACTCCTCCAGCAGGCTGAACCTGAGGCAGCCGGCTGGCCAGTAGTTCAAAGCATAGCGACCACGGGGCTGTTGGGCTCTCACTGCATCCACACGAGGGCGAGGATCTGAGCCTCTGGGCCCTTTGGGTGCACCTCCTTCTGGGTGGCTCGAGCCATCAAGGTGGCTTTGCACCTTCATGCTGTCTTGTGAGTATCGCTTGGCTTCACTCCCTGCATCACGACACCATCCCAGCCCTATCCTTGTGCCCGGCCCCAGCTCAGGGACCAGGCACAGGGAAACACTTGGGACCCCTTATTTGCTCACCAAGGCCCCTAGAGCAGCTGCCAGCAAGACGTGCCACAGAGGAGGGTAGGCGAGAGCCAGGCAGGGGGTCGGCCCTTTGCCAAGGAGCCTGAAGTTCAGTGCAGAGTTTGGCTGTGGCGGGGGAACGGGGGCTTCTCAGGGAAGCAGAGCCACAGCTGAGAAAACTCACACCAGACCCTCAGGAGGCAGAATCAGGGCACGTGGAGAATGTCAGACCTTCTCACTGACGGGCAGGGGAGCCCCGGTGTGCTCTGCTCCTCCCTGGTCAGGACTGGCTGGGGACCTGGGCGCTGTGGGCTCCTCCAGAGTCTGCTGGGGAGGGTGCTGCCCCCTGGGAATGCCTCCCTGAGTGGCCCTGGGTGCTCTTGTCTCCCGGCTGCTGGTAGCCAGCCCGCCATAGCCTCCCTGGGCTGGCACTGCCCTCACCAGTCAGCTCACTTCATGAACGAGCACCAAGGGTCCCTCCTTCAACTTGGGTTCCGCACGGGGGTCTGGTCCTGGGACTTGCCCCAAGGGCACCCATTTCTTGATGTGTTCCAGGGCTGAAGCTCACCTCCAGCAGTATTTGCTCCCACATCCCTCCCCTGGCCAGGCAGGGGCAGTTCAGAGGGGATCTGGCAGGTGCTGCTCCTTCTATGTCTCTGGGGTGGCTGAGCCTCTTCACAGCCTGCATCCCTGGTGCCCCCAAACCCTCTCCTGCCTGGCTCCTTTCCACATCCTCATTTGAATCTGTGAGTATCCGGGGACAGGGGGAGGCTCCTGGTGACCACCTCTGTCATCTGCTACAGCCTTTCCTCTGCTCAAACACCATGACTGGGGACACCAAGGGTCTGAGCTGGCTCTGTGGGTGGCTGACAAGACAGCCCTCTACCTCTCACACTCAGGCTCAGAAAGCAAAACCTCATAGTCACATTCACAAGACCATCAGTTTAATCAAACATTTGGGCCTTACATGGGGAATTATTTGAAAGTAACTTGTAATCACAGCGATTTGTCCCATACTCACATGGCAATGGTTGTTGTTTACCAGGCACTAGGAGACTCACCCAGGGGCTACATCATGTCCTGTCAGCTCCACCTGAACTGCAGTATCTGTGAAAGGGATGCTCGTCCGGGACTTTCAAATAAAGGTGAATGCGTGAGCCCATCGGGACCAGGGCCTGAGCGGCTCTTACTGGAGGAACAGGCAGGGCAAAAACCCCAGGCTGTACAGACTGAGGCCAGGTTCAGGAGAGAGTGGGCAGGGTAAGCAGCAGGGGTGATGGGGACTCGGGACTGGGCCCATGAGAAGGACACCCCTAACCCCAACAGAGCCACTCGGCAGCTGGCTGCTGCCTTCCTAACAGGCTCATCACAGCCTGTGGGGGCTGATGGGCAAAGCTCAGGGGCCTAAGGGTACAGGTGGCTGGAGGGAATTCCCACAGCCACCTTCCCCTGGGGCAGCCTCTCTTTGGAACTCCTCCCACCCTGCCCAGTGTCTTCAAGGCACAGCGTCTGGCATCCCACATCTAAGGGTCAAAGGTGCAGGACTTAAGTCCCTGGGTGAGGAGACAAGAGTGGTCTGTGTCTGTGTTGTCACGGCCTGAGAGTTAATCCACGGCCCTGGTGCCTCTTCTATACAAATGGCCGTGACAACGACACTTCTGCTCAAAGTTCAGTGGCAAAGGGCCATCACAGGACCCTTCCTAAGTAAAGAGGACCAGCAGTGCCGTGTCCCCACCTGTCCAGGGAGGAGAGGAAGCCAAGACGCAGACAAGCACCTGACGTCTCTCCAGTTCAACGTGGAGTAGGAGATGCTCAACAAAAAGTACCATTTATAACTTGTTAGGGAAAAATCCCCTGCATTTCTGGGAGGAGTTTCTGAGCAGGTCAACTCTGCCTTGACATTCTCCATCTTTTTCAAGTGCCCGCCTACTTACTACGTGGCAGGTGCGCCCAATCCAGGATCACATCCAATTTCCACGTGGTTCTATGACTCTCAGCAGGGAAGGCTCGCCCACCCTCTTCATTCCCCAGCACCCGCCTGCACTTCTCATTGCAATGACCTCGACAGTCTCCTTAGGCTGACAAGTTGCTCCTTCCTCTAGATGCAAGGTCACAGTCTTAACCTGAGAGCCTCTGCTTCTGGCTGCATTCCTCAATATGCCTGAAAACGGGGACACTGGCCAATACTGCATCTTTAGTGGCTGGTAGTTCTTTCTAGTATTATTCTGACCTCAGACCCTGTCCCTCTCGCCTCTGGAAATTGTTTTGTTTCCATGACATCTCAGAGAATTTGCAGCTCAGTAGGAAACTGAATAGAAAATCAGCCAAAATTGCTGTTCTGGGTATTTTCCTCCTAGAAGCTATATTATTTAATTTGGGTGTGTGTGTGTGTTGGGGGGGTGACTTCCCCAGCTGGGAGCAGTTCACTCAAAGCTCCCAGAATTCCTTCCCACTTTTGCACCTTCCCTTCATTCAAACCACCTATTTTCATTCATTTCATCCCATGGAAATCTAGACCTCGCTCACCATTGGCCAAAATAAACTCCAGATGGCTGAAATACATTGTCATATCTATATAGTTGGTACTGGCTTTCCCAGGGCAGGGAGCGGAGTGCAGACCAGTGAATCCTGGGCAGTACTTCAAACAGCAAGACCCTCACTTCTCCGGAAATCCTTGCAGATGATGGGTAGAAGACACCAAATTCTCCACTGTGCTCAACTGCGATGCCACAGAAACCCAGGACACCTTCTTTCCTGCTCCAGGAGGAATCTATCTCTGGTTTAGCCAAGATCCAAAAGGATTTCTCAGAGCAATGCCCCAATTCAGACTTTCCTCTCAACCCAAAGACACATCGCCTGCATGTCTGCCTGCCGCCGCCACCACCCAGCTGCTTTACCATCACCTCCCACAGAGGGACCCCCAGCTTCCCAAAGCTCCGAACTGCCCTGGCTCCGGGCACTTACACTTGGGTGCTCGCTCCCGGACCCCCACCGCCTCACCCCATTTTTACTTGCTCCGTGGGACTTAGGGAACATCTCACCAACTTCCTGATGTGACTGCGGCTCCTAGACTATCATTCTAGGTGTGGGGTGTCCTGCTCTTCCGAGTGTCCCCACCACTAACACCGAGCCCTCCGGAGAGCAGAGGCTCAGTGAACGTCTGCAGAATAACTGAGATGGTGAGCAGGGATCCTACGGATTCAGATTGATTTTTCTCCTACTTTCTTAAATAACCCGTGGAAATCAAACTAAACATAGATATTTTAGATTTATAGAAAGACACAAAAGAAGGGGTAAGAAGCAAGAAAAGACTACTTTTACATTTATTTTTCTAATTCTTGCCCCAATCCATAATACTGCTAAGTACTTTCACATTTCCAAAAACATTCTAATTCCAATTCCATGTTATTTTGCTCAGGATCACAAAACAAATGGGAGATTTCCTAATCTCTTTTACAAAATAGCAAAACTCTTGCTCTTAAACTGGACAAAAACACAAACATTGTGATCACCGTCATTCAAAGTTAGACACTGAAGCTCGTTATGTCTTCTATGAAAAGGAACGACATTTGAAAATTTCCTACGGGAAACAACGATCAATTTCCATGTCATCATAAAGGACAGGAGGAACCCAGAGATGCTGTACACTGTGTCCCTCAACAGGCCCGGGCTGTCACCACTTAGAAGGCTGACTGCTCGCTCTCCAAACACAGAGTGAAGGATGGACTCACTTCCTGCCCGGCAGGCGAAGCTGCTGGACAGGGGCCTGGAAGGAGCCCAGCCGCAAGTCTGGCTCAGGCCCCCTCTTCCTCATCACTAACAGCCTCTTCTGACAGGGCTGGGACCTGGACCAGGAAGGAACTGGGACCCCTTCGATTGACCCTGAGCAGATACTCCCGGACTTGCAACTTGCTGATCTCCGCGTGGGCCCGGGGGCCCCACAGGAACTCGTAGTGAGCGGGATCGCTGTTGGTCACCTGCTGGTACTCCAGGTACCCCTCCTGCACCCACACTTTGGTGATGAGCTCCCTGGGCTCCCCATAGATGTAGTGCTCCATCCCAGCATACAGCCCCATCTTGCTCAGTGCTCCCCACACCTCCTCCTCAGGGAGGCGCTCTCCCTCCAGGTGGATCATGCAAAGGAGCATCACCAGGAGGCCGTTCTTGGGCATGCTCTGCCCATCGCCCAGCATCCCATCACAGGTGAGGCCCAGGGTGGGGACCAAGACATACCAGTGCCCCCTGGGGTCCACCTCCTTCACATCCACCCCAAAGACCAGCTGCATGCACTCAGAGGCCTGGCTGAAGACCGCAGGGAAGTGGTCCTGGTATTCTCTGAGGAAGATACTCAGCATTTCTGCCCTGGTGGTCAGCTGCTTCCTGCGATACTTGAGGAGCAGGAAGCCCACCAGGTCAGTCATCATCAAATGCCGTGCATCTTGGAGCAGGGACTCGGCACCGGCAGAGTAGGAAGAGGAGACTGAGGAGGAGGAGGACCGGGGGGATGCGGCCCCCTCCTCCACAGCCTCCAACAGCTGCGCATCCACCAGGCCCTGGGCGTCTCTTGGGTCTTGAAAGTCTTCCTCACTCTGGGAGAGCTCACTCATCTGAACCAGAGGCATGATGACTGGTGTCGGGCAGCAGACAGGAGTGTGGACAGGGGTGACAGATGGGGACCCACGGGCCTGGGGGAGAGAGGGTGTGTCAGCAGGCTGGGCTGAGAAACCCACCCTGGGGGGCTCTGACAAAGGCCACTTACTGGTCTCCTCTCCAGGGGTGCCCTCGGCCTCACAGGGGCTCTCCTGCTGGTGGACGGTCCTCTGTGAACCTGACGGGGGAAGTGAGGCAACTCCTCAGGGTGCAGCCGGCACAGCCGAGGTTCTGGGGGTGACAGGGGGTGTGTGGAGTGGACACTGGCCTTGTGGGGTCCCCTCTGTTTCAGAAGCCCCCGAGTACACACTCAGGGCCCACACCTCACCTGACACTGCCGGCCTCCTGTGCTCTGTGACCCGAGGACACGTGTCTCACACCGAGGCCTACACCTCCCGGTGTCTCGAGCCCCTGGGAGAGAAAGGAGGGGAGACCTGGGGTCTACACTGTGGCACAGCCCTGGACCCGCATGCTGGCAGGAGGCCTGGGCTCTGGCAGGTTCCCACTCTTCTAGGGTGGGAGGTCCTCTCCGCGCTAGCTCAGGGTCCTCACCGTGACTCCAAGCGGGACCTGGGATTCTGCGCTCCAACCACCTGAGGGCCCCTCCTTATAGTAAGTCCCCGGTCTCTCTGAGCCCCGGATGCGGAAGTCGGGACACACCACGTGTGCTCATCCCGCCTGGGGGCCTCCCAGGGCTGACAGCAGGGGCAGGATCGGTTGCGTCCCCTCTGTTCTGGGGTCTCGGGTCCCCTCACTCCTCCCTCGGGGTCCTCACCTTGACTCCTGGCAGGACCTGGGATTCCCCTCTCAGCCCACCC